ACTTTATTGAGAAAAATGTATGTTTCAGGGGTGTAAAACTTCCGCATCCGAACAACCGCGATCAGTCGGCGATCAGTCACGATCAGTCACGATCAGTCACGATCAGTCACGATCAGTCACGATCAGTCACGATCAGTCGAACAAAGAAATGTGGAGGCAGCCAAAAAAGGGGTTTTGAAACGCGAAGGCACCCAAAAAGTGAGAGATATGTGAAAGCAGCGCTACGTGTTCTAAATGAAACTACTGAACACATTATTCTTCCAGAGGGAAACTGCCAAGCGCATTTATTCCGGCAAAGGAAACTATGAACTGTGTGCCTTTTCAGGGCCGGATCAAGGGGGTGGCCACATGGGCACCGGTCCATGGCGGCAAATCTAAGGGGCGGCAAAAATTTGCAATTTTTTAAAGTGTAGGTGTAAAAAAAATCGAATTCATAAAAACAAATTTACAAACGAGAAAAGGCGACAAAATCTCTCATTTCCTGAGAATATAGTAATTTCTAATTTTGTCGTCTCTCAGTGATACAAGAGACAGCACCCTCAATAAGTCGAGTTACGAGAGAAACCAAACACGCAATTTGGCCTAGGACGGCGCGACTTAAAGAGAAATGATAACGAGGACTTGAGATGAAAAGGAGAAGCCCTCGGCGCGGCGATCGGCGTGTAACACATATTAGCGCCAACAAGACTGCACGAATACTTCACGCATTGCATCAAACACAGTGCGGTCATTGCGGTCAGCATGAAACGGATAGCGCCTACAAGAATGCATAAACACTTCACGCATTGCGCCAAACACAGTGCGGTCAGCGTGAAACGCATAGCGCCTACAAGACTGCAGGAATACTTCACGCATTGCGCCAAACACGGTGCGGTCTGCGCGGCGCGGCGGCGGAAGTTAAAATCACTGAACCAAATTTATATTTGTCCTTTCATAATATTTTCGTTAATTTCTTAAGAATGAAAGGCCTTGTCCACACAGAGATAGGTTTACGGAACTTAACTTTCCTGCAAAGTTTCGTGAACTTTTGCTAGTAGTGTTGACAGGGCTTTCCCAAAAAATGTGTTCAACACGAGTAAATGCTTCTTATGCACCCCTCCCCCGCTGGCACGTTCATTTGATGGTTTTTATCGAGTTTCAAAACGAATGAGAGGGGGGCGGCAAAATATAGGCGGCCCATGGGCGGCAAGTAGGTGAATCCGGCCCTGTGCCATTTGTAAAGGAATTAACGAAGCGCGCAGTCTCATGTGGACAGCAATGTGAAGGCTGACTCAAAAAATTTGAAGGCAAAAACTCAATAGAAACTGACATTGCGTAGTACTCCATTCAAAAAGTAAAGTATGACAAGAGGTCTGCAACGTCGCAAACCGAGATACTTGGTTTGGGAGTTTTATCGTCGAGTTGAAATTTAAACTCGATGAAAAGGGAGGAAGAAAAAATGAATAAAATATTAGACGTATCACATGATACTATTGAGAAGAAATTAAAAGAAAATAACAAAGCAAAATCGAAGAGAATGGGCATCCCAATCAAGCATTAAAAATTTAATTTCTGCAATTACTTATTGAGGATACTGTTCCTTGCCACTCCTTTGTCATTCTTTCATGTCTCCCATTTAGAATAGCTACATCTTGCCGCCGAGTATCAACACCCTTGTTGCGCCAAGAGCATTACTCTTTCACTGCGAGAGGCAGAGTTTAGAGTGGAAAAAGCTCGAACGCCTTCAGTTTTCCGAATATGCAATATCAGCGTCCGTTAAGCTTCAATAGTTGCAGCCAAGTGTTAAATGCGTCGCGCCACACCTCCAGTAGGCCTTTTGTGTTATTACCGATTGAAAATGTGTATAATGCAATTATACATATTTTTCCTCATATTTTCATATTGAGAAAATTTTCGATGAAATTGTATTTTTAAGGAGAAGTATTATACTTATTAGAAAAGGAAAGAACTGATAATTTTTTTTTGTATTCACTATTAAAAGAGAAAAAAATCACCGGTAAAATGAACAAGTTTTTCTGTAAGTTCAATATATTTTTTACTGCAAGTACACACCTAAATTTTTTTCGTGCCACAAAATTAACTCCCAACTTTGCAACCTGATTTTATCGATTTTCACTTTCAGCTGGTCAGAGATTAATATTTCAAAGGGACTGGAGTACCGGTACAGCTATTATGTCAATTACTGCAAGGCGAGGCGTGTTTGTGTAGCCGTAGTGGATGACCCAGTAAATGTCAGATCAATATAAAGCTATCAAATATTTACCAAAAGGGTGTGCTGAAAATTCTCTGAAACATTACCGTAAGGTCAAGTGTGCGGGCTGCGATATCGACCCTAGTAACCATCGGGTTTAAAAAGTGAATAGAGGGGATGAAATGAACGGTTACACTGCTATGCTGAGAGAAACCACCGTATGTGCCTTCGGATATTACCAAATTTCCTCCGACAAAACACACATTTTTTAGAAGTATTTTGAATATTTGTTTTCTAGTCTTCCTGGATAATTTCATTCGTAATTTAATACATATTATTGGTAGATCTCAAGAGAAAATAGTCATTATTTTTTTGCTTCAAAGATAAATTCTTATCATGAAAACTTGGACAATGTAGATGTTGCATGTGTGAGGAATTTGCGATTTGACTGTTGATTCTCATGTAAAAGTTCGCGAGAAACACGACGGTGCCACTGGTTTTCTCTGAAAACAACTCCTAAGCTTAAAAAAAGCTGTCAAGTTGAGGCCAAAATGGAGGGAATATCGCACGCTATCCTGAGAGTCCACCTCTACATCAAAACAAACTTTCCATACAAAGATAGGGAACAAATGCATTGACAGGGCTGCCACTTTATTTAGGGACTCCAAAACTGAAAACACGGCAACCCTTCTAATGTATTTGCTCCCTATCTTTGCATGAAGAGTTTGTCTTGATGTAGAAGTGGACTCTCAGGATAGCGTGGGATATCCCCTCCATTTTGACCTCAACTTGAGAGCTTTTTTTGAGCTTGGCAGTTAATTTTAGAGAAAACCAGAGGCACCATCGTGTTTCTTGCGAACTTTTGCATGAGGATCAACAGTCAAATCGAAAATTCCTCATCTATGCAACATCTCCATTTAATACATATTATTGGAAAATCTCAAGAGAAAATAGTCATTATTTATTGGCCTCAAAAATAAATTCTTATCATGAAAACTTGGACAATATTCGAATGTTCATGCGGTGTTTTTCCTTAGTACGGTAGCAGAGTACGTGCATCCCTCGGTTGCTTTCAAAAACTATTTTCGACCCTGCATGGCTTATTCGACAAGGGTAATGTCGATAATTATTCTCTGAGAAAAACAAACGGAAACTTTTTTACCTCAAATGACGCGTCCGCAGCGGTAAATTTTTAAATTACTTTTAAATGCATTGCTTCCAATCCCTTCACCTAAGGTATCTATTCATGGACTTTCTTAGGAATTTTGTATGAGGTCAGCGCTATCTCCCCCCGCCCCAATACAATGGGGTGGACCGGGGGGATATTATGGGGATATCGGCAAGGCAGTAGTGGGGTTATCATTTTGTCACATTTTTTTAAGCGAGGAAAGGATATTTTTGAAAAAAAAATTCTATTGAAAATGTCTAAACATGTTTTCCAACATTAATTTCACTCAATGATGTTGAATGTAATACAAAAACAGTATTACCACAGTTATTGTTATGGATATTGCTGTACAAACTTGACTGGAGAAAAATTATATTTAATGTAGATCGCAACGAAGCAAAAATAAACAACCTGTATGAAAAAATAGCACTACCATGATTTTTGAAAATTGTGACATTGGAGGAAACAGCAGTACTGCACCAGTCTTGCTCAATCAATGTCCCAACATCGGTAGGGATATAGTTGATGCAACATTAGAGCAAAATGATGTAACGAGCACGTGACTGTTATGCCCCTACGAATCTAGCTTGAAGTAATGTTGTCTCAGTATCAAGAGAGCATCCCTTTTGACATTGCCAGAGCTGAGGAGATATAGAGGCAAAATCAAAATAATGGAGGATTTGCATACGAATATTTTATTGCTTCACCTGAGAGTGCTTAATGTGCTGAGTTCGCAGTATTTTTCATAATTTTATTTCTGAAATGGGAAACTGCAGAAAAATAGATTTATAAGTGGAAGATTGTGCCGCCTTGTGATATCATCTGGCGAAATTTCCCGTTTAAACACATACATTTCAGTAGATAGGTTATTTCGTCATTTATCCTCCATTAATTTCTCAATTTTGAAACAAAGGATATCCTTGCGCTCAGTTCTCTTAGTAGTTTCATTACATACATAAAATTTCCAAAATGTCAGACACCTGCAAATTCTTCATCGGTCTGTATTTTGAATCAGGAACTACAATTTCCGGCTCATCCATAAAAACACTCATGCACACAGGTGAACTAATCTGCCTTGCTAAGGAAAAACGCCGTATGAACTTTTATGCGTTACCAAATTTCCCTTGATAAAGCACGAATTTCTTGGTCAACTTATTAATATTTTTCTTCCAATTTTTCAGATGATTTTGCTTGCAATTCCACCGAAAAGTCCTGAAAATTTCAAGGGAAAATATATTCATAAGTTTCCTCGGAAATGAATATTTTATCGAAGGTAATTTGGCAACCCTCGAATGTACATACGGCGTTCTTTCCTAGCACGGCAGTAATGGTACATACGTTGTTTCTACACTGAGCCAGAGATTGTAGTTCCCAATCCAGTCTAATCACAGTTTGCTAGAGCGGAGCCAGCTCGCATCGCGCATCGCCTCGCAAAAACCGCGGATCCGCACGGTCTTTCAATCGCAGTTACGCGGTTTTTACTCGCAAGGGCAAAATTACAAAACGGCTCGGCCGATGCCCGTGACCGGCGTCGCCCTTCGTCCGGCGTCGCGACGCTCCCGGGACGCGACGCGACGTCATCGTCACGTCGCGACGTCCGATTTCGCGACCCGCGAGGCAGGAAGGATCCGCGCCAAATGGCCGCCCGAGTTTAGCTGATCGCACGCGTTTCATCTCCCGATCCCCCCCGCTCTCTCCCTATCGTGTACCCTCTCCCCCCATCCCGTGCCCTCTCTCCCGCCCCTTTTTTTCCGACCGGGTCTCCAGAGCATACGCCGAACGGCATCAGTCCGAATTCGAATCTCGGAGCTTGTACCCGCACCCTTCCCCACGCGCGGAAACCAACCCCCGAACACTTCCGAGCACCCCAAAAGACCCCCAAATACTTTTGACCGCCCCCAAAAGACCCCTACACACCTTTAAGCACCCCAAAAATCCCCTAATTTTTTTAAAAACAAATAATTCTCATATTTTTTTACAATAAAAGATTACCGGTTCACGAGCCTCCTATTTTTGTACTGTGGTTTTTTTTTCGAGTGATCGTTTGAAAATTCTATCGAAAATTTCGTAACTTCATTAGTTGTCGGCGTCGATGAAAATCCTCGCGAAGTTCAAGAAAAAAATCAAACGACCGTCTGGCTGATCGAGAGGTGTAGTTCTTTGACGGGTTCAACGGAGTTGAGTGCGAAGAATACGACACGGACCGGAAATGAGTTCTGTGCGCAGTTTTAAGTGTCACGAGAGACCGGCGACGAGTTTTCAGTTTTGAGTTTCCGCTGATGGAATGCTGAGCGGCGAGCCTTGTTTTGGATTTTCGCCCGAGAGGAGTTTACAAAAATGAGGTGAGTCGGTGTAAACAATCGACTTGATTTGGAACATCCCAGGCGCCGTCAGGTGTTGTTGCATTGGATTGCATTTTGCAATAGGGAACCACTATCTCTGGCTCTTTCACGAAAGCACCACTCTGCATAGGGAATACAATGGCATATACTCGTATTTATTGTTTCTAAATGAGGTTAAAATAGTGGCTCCTTATTGAAAAATGTAGTCCAATTATGCTTGCTGCTCCTCACCTTACCGAGCGTAAATGACTTCGTCTCAACTTATTTTCATCCAGTGATTTTCTCTAATTTTAAGGGTTAATATTAAAGTAATTTATATGGTAGTTGCGATTATAGTAAGTTGGCAGCAATGTGCAATGTTAATCCTCCATCTAAATCCATTAAATGTATCGATCCTGGGCGAGGCAGGCTGTCTCACATGAAATCGATTGTTTAACATACGTCCAAATGGAGATTTAACAATGTTGCCAACTCGCTGGAATCACCACTGCCACTAGGTGTCTTAGGGTTAAAATGCCAAGTGACTACAAGAATGTTTTCTATGGATTGATGTAAGACTTTTTTCGTTTGAAAACTCTTTTCCAAAAGCTTTCCCAGTTCCTCTCGAAATTTTTGGGGAAATCACTTTTTTTTTTTTTACTTTGTGTGACGATTATAGATTAAAACTCATGCAAATGGTACCCTCGCGTGATCGTAGCAGGCGTTAAATTTCATTCATTTCCTACAATATGTCGAAAGTAGAAGCTTAAGAGGATTTCAAGAGGTCTTGGATCTTGCAGGAATTCTTAACACAAAACTTGACTTCATTTTGAATATGTTGCGTTTTTGTACGTGGATCAAGCACGATTTGAAAGACGTAGATCAGTGAAGATTGGTTTTAACGGAGCAACCAATTTACAAAGCTTTTGCGCAATCTTCACAATGTAGATTGAAAGCCTCCCAGGGGAAAGGTCTCGTAAAAAAACTGATTTTCCGATTATTTTTTAACATATGTACACTCATTCCAGTGCTTTTGTCTCACTAATCTGTCATCGAAAAACTTCTTACAAATTCTAATCCTGATATGGTCAGGGCAATTGACATTCAAAGACTACAAAATTGCCGTTAAATGAAAGAGACAATTGCACAATCTTAGCGACACTTGATGCTGCTTGTTTTCGGATATTTTGAATTTCCACTCATGAGCTATTGTCTCGGTCTCGGCAGTAGAGAATGGATATTTCAAGATCTAATTATCAGGTCAAATTACTTTTTCTGCTGAAGGATCTCTGCCACAAACGCTTCTCCTCGGTATTACCGCCCCTGCGGACTGATTATTGAAATTGATAGACAAAGCGGTAGACATAAAAGAATAATGGAGCGATCCTTTTGGTCGAAACGGATGGTTCCTATAGACTATGGAGGAATATGATGAGCTAACTATAAGAGATCTCGTGGGTTGCCGTTAGTTAGTCTATCACTTACCTCCTTTGTCTATCACTTACCTTCTTTGTCTATCGCAACCAGTCGCTTCCACCAAGAGGATCGCTTTTCACCGCTTTTATCGAACATTTTTGCAGGTTCCTGTATGGGTTTTATGACTGTAACTTTACCCTTAACTTAGCCTAGGTGAACACTTACTCCTGCGTACAAACTGTTTCCTTTCACTAAATTTTGATGATTAAATTTTCACGTACTTTTCTTCGTGCTTGTCATAAAATATTCCTAAATTCTGAAAAAGTTCCAGGAAAAGATTCCAAAAATTTTACTTGCCAAATTTCGCAAAACACTTTTGGTCACATTTGGTCAACCTAACTCGAGGTAAAGGAAAACCAACAAAAAATGAATGAATAAATATAAATAAATATATGTCAATGAGCATACACCTGACAGGTCCTAGCAAAATATTTTTCCCTGTGCTAAAAACACTAAAACCCACCTGACCTCCGGCCTTTCCAAAGGTTTCGTTTGGATCAGACGTGACTTTCAATGAGTTGAAGGACCCATCCCAGAGTTCAACGCCCTCCTCCAAGGCGCATGTTATCATTGTAAATATTGAACTGGGGGTCGCTAATGAATTACGCAAGAGAATTCCGCGCAGGGGAAGGTAGCACTGTGCCTTTTTAAACTTAGAGAAGAGGAATTGACCCGAGAAATTTGTAATTGGAGAAATACAAGGGGAAAACAGGAAACAATGCTAAAATACAACAACAAAAACCCCGAGACGTTTAAACTCAAAACTGCGTCATTTTCAGTCGAAAATCAAATTAAAAATTAAAAAAATATCATAGAAAAAACAAGCTTTGGACTCGAGCTAAATTTTTCATCGGAGAATTGCCTCGTCTAGCTACGGCTCCAGCACCCGTAACTTTCGGCCTCTGAGCCCAGAACAAACGGTAAGTCAATATTCCATGTAACAGTGTAATAATGAGTTTTGGAGAATTACAACTTCATGCCTTTTTACAGTTCGATCTTAATGTGACTCGGTCCTTCTCCGTTGACTTCGGTCCATTTGATCCGCGGAAATGTCCTTGCAAGAATAATAAAATATGCCATAAACGGACATAAACAACAGAGATGTGCAGAGGCGGGTTTGCAATTAGCCCGAGAATTCGGATGCTCCATTTCCCACCGTCCATCGTCGCGAATGTAGTTGAACTCTCGACGTTTCGCGGGCGTATCGCCCTTGCCGCGCGATCTGGCGAGAAAAAAGCTAATTTTCCCTAATGTGTCGGGTAAAGCACTCCGCATTTGGAAACGTGGGCTGTATGTATTTTGACATGTTTATTTTGGTTCGCACGTACTACGTCCGGTGATGACCGATGATAACTAGAGAAGTAACGATCGGAGATGTTCCATCCCTCTTGCCTACGCCAAAGAAAGTATATTGATTGTTTGACGGGTATTGATTTATCTTCCTTCGTTGTGCTGTTTTTTTTTTTTTTATTTCAATGTAAGAGAGAGAGAGAGAGAAAAAAAATCTTTATCCGTCACACGAATGAAGACTTCGTGTGCTGATGCTCTGAAAAAAGCACAAAAAGTATGTTCGGGCTATGTTCATGTCGGGGACATATCGTTCGTTCTGGGCACAGAGGCCGAAAGTGCCAGGCGTAACAGCCGTTACTCCGGCACAGTGCCCGGAGCAGCCGAAGCTGTCCAGCACCCGGAACTTTCGGCGTCTACGCCCGGAGCGGACAGTATTTCTGTATACAGCCTGTAAGTGCTTAATCCACAGCTGGAGCTCTCTTTTCAGTGTATCTCGTTTATAGAGGTCTTTATGGTGTGGCACGAGCCCTCATGTTCAGTAAATTAATTTTAGTTCAGCCTCAGTCTAACAAACTTGGTTCTTAAGACGTCTAGCGTGTGTCAGACGAAGACGCATTAGAAATCGAATAGAAGAAAAGCAGACAAATGAAGAAAATTTTAAAAATAATGAAAAAAAGAAAGGAGAGAAGATGAAAAACAAGAGGAACAAGAAGAAGAGGAGCAGTCCATGGAAAACTGAGGGGCTTGGAGGACAAGGAACCTAAGTGTAGTTTTTGATATTTCGAGAAATACGCGCGTGTTTGAAGTTTTGAAAAGTGCATGGATCCTTATGGCCGAAAGAAAGTTCAAACTGACTTTTTGATGCTTAGTGATAGTTTGGGGAGCGAATATTTAGACGCACAGAATGCATCAGGACTAGTTTTACTTGAAATAATTAATACTTCAATTTTTTCAAAAACTAATATAACTTTTTTAAATAAAAAGTTCTTTAATATATTCAGATGTACTCAGGCTTTTTCCAACCTCGATTGTTTTCAAAAAAAAAAAAAAATCGACTCTACCTAATCAAAGTTTTCGAAACTACCCTTGCACGATTCAAATTATGCCAACCAATTGGTCCACATTTTTCGACAAGAAGCCGCTATTTCTGGCTCATTTTAGAAGAAAGCGTAAGACCCATTGGTTTCCTTATTCTGAAAGGTGCTTTCGTTGAAGAGCTAGAGATAGTGGTTCCTTATTGCAAAATGTAATGCAATTAAAAAATGAGCTCGGTTCTTATTTTATCTACACGATCATCAAAAGAGTCACCGGTCATATAACGGGATTGAAAGTAACACATTTTATTTCTCAGATTACTAAAATTGAATTTATTGGTTATAGTCCGACAACCGACACTGATAAAGACCATCGCGTCGGAATCAGACGATGTATGATGACCTTACTCACTCTGGCGCAATTATCGAGGAATTTTGTTATTACAATTTGTTTGCTTCTCAAATAAATTGCCAATAATCAGAGAAATTTTTGTGATTTAATACCGAAAACCTTTTTCTTATTGAAATATTCCTTATCATATCATCACTAGCACTTTTAAAGCGATGGAATAATTCAATAAGGAAACTGCAGAAATGCGTATCTCGGTATTGCGTACTTTCTGTTATACTTTATTTTCTTTATGAAAAATTACGGAAAGTCATAAGGTGAAACTTTCAGCGATTTTACTTCTTTCTGTATAAAATATTCCGTAAAAACTTCAAGCCATGATGTTAGTTTGGTCTCCTTTAAAAATATGAGATCGGAGCGGAGATTTCGAAAGATCGCAACCGAGATGCGCATTTTTGCAGTTTCGCCGTTGAATTGGTATTCGCAGCTGGTATTCGAAAATTTGGCATCTCTCAAACAACGTATACCAGTTCATTGTACTTGTTCATGACTCCTTCATTGTCAAACAAATTAAAATAGAAAGGAACCGCAATAATAAAGCCTCGTATGTAAATTAGCAAATACAATAAGAAATGTAACGAGTTACGAGCGATGACTGGAATTTCAAGTTATTCTAGTTGAGATAATGTCATCTTCGTTTTTTGCGATTTCTTTCAGTTTCAATTAGCAGGTCAGTGAGAGCATTGACCACCCTCAGGATTCGTAAAAAAATTGATATCATTCAACTACAAAAAATTAGCTTTAATTCAAAGCGGTTAAAAATTCAAGTTCTCAAAATTGTGACACTCGTCAAACTGCCTTTCTTCACTGTG